TTTAGTGGGTTATGATCTTAGGTAAATAGAATTCTACACTATGCAGTAACAGTTTTTTATCTCAGCATTTTATCATATGACTAAATCATGTTAAACTTGGTGTTTCTGCCATAAGACTGGCTTTACAGGAGGGTGTTTAGATTTTTTATGAACCGTAAAAACTTCCCGTTAAATGTGTCTTATCGACCATTGATAGATTTAATTTAATAACATGATTGAATCAACACGGTGCTAGATTTTTCCTGTATGCTATTTCTATGCAAATCTTGTTTGAAATGTAAACATCAACTCAGCCCCTACAGACCATAATGCTGATCGTAGTATGTTATTTTACTCAACAGTAAGGCTGTTTTGTAACTATTTCAACATTTGAGCTATTACCATCATTTATTTTCTGTTTGGGTTATAAGGTTTAATAAATCTGAGTGACTTCCTTTTGATTAATTTAGATCCTGTAAATGTGTGAGAACCCTACCTCCACAGGAGGGGGTGGTGTAACTGATAAAGTTTTGATTACCTTACAAGGTGGAGATGGGCTGGTTCATTTAAATTAGAATGCCTTTTGCCTGAATGCAAATGTGTGAGCCTAAGCAGCTAAATCAAGGCTAGACTAGAAGACTCTAGGGTCCTTTTGTGAAAAACCTCTTTGAAGCCTCTGTGACGTGATTGTGTAAACTCCGCCTTAGTGTGATAGAATCTCTGATTAACTCCTTTTGAGACAAGCTAGTTTTAAAGAATTTGGATGTGTTTTATTTTGTTTGTGAAAATTTAGGACAGACCATATGCTATTTTCATGCTAAACCAGACATCAATGTTTATTAATTTAAACAATTAGGCAGCACAACTTTTGGGTACACTGTTTTCCTAAATGCAAATTGTTCCCTAGGCAAGACAGGCTGGGAGACTCCTTGATTTGTGTCCTGCTGTGATGTGATGATGGGAACTCGATTAACAGGTGATAAAGATCAGTGGCTGGCTGCATTGGTTCCTGCAGAAAACATCAGAGGACACAGATCGGGGACAAGACGCTTTGTGCCCCATTGACCCTCAACAACCAGGAAGGTATTGTGATTGCAACACAAGATGGTTTGCTATGTCCTGTCCTGATACTCTCCGAATGCAGGAATGGCTCAGACTCAGGAGAAGAGTGTCGATGAAAAGACTTCAGAGGATCTGAGTTCCTTTGAGCAAGCAGCTGTGGAAGTTGAACGCATGTCTAACAGAATGCAAATTGGTCTGTGCCTGTGGCATCCTGCTGTGGGTCTTTGAAACGTTTGTGACTTGTAGGTGTGTTGAAAAGGAGGTGGAGCCCACAATCCAAGATGGAGGAAGCACGAAAGACGTGGCTAACTGCTGACTTGCAGTCCAAGACGGAAGTGATACAAACCACCGTCACCGGCTGAGCTAATGTTAAACCACAAACCAAGTGGATCAGTTAGCCCAAACCGGTACCAACCTGTAAGCTGATGTAAAACCACAAAACCCGCTGTGGGCCAGTCAGCTCTCTCAGGAAGTGACCTGCGTCGACACGTCAGCGGGACGACGCAAAGCTGAGAGCACAGTGTGACCGAGATATCACACCTGAACTGGAGATGAGGTGCAGAGGTCAAACACCAACTTCAGGAGGGAACCAGAACTGCAGGTCAGCCAGCCACAGAAAACTCAAAACCTGTGACACCTGTTCAGTCCTACAAGCGATCGATTGCAGCACAGGAGGTAACGACTGATGTGGAGCAGAAGATCCACAAGTGTTTGATGACAAATGATATGGGTTACTTTAATAAAGCTAGGAATTCAAGATTATTATGTAGGTTTTGGTGTCTAGATTATTCATTCCTAATTCCAGGTTTTAACTCTTGCTCTGGGTTTTGTTGACAGGATAATCATTGCTCAAAGGTAGCATTCAGGGGGGATAAGTTAATGAAGCTAGAAATACAGGATAAAATTGGGTTTGATGTCTGGTTTAATGTTGAACTAAAATCCGATTGATTAATTGGTCATTTCAAATTCCAGGTTAGGTGTGTCCTAATTTCATGTTAATGTTGTTTTATTGGTTTAATCTTTTATTGCTCAAAAAGTCACATCAGGAGGGAATGTTGGGTATTTTTATAAAAATGTACCTTTTTGAGACCTAAAAGATGCCCATTACACATCATGAATCTCTGTGTTGGTATGTTCATAAAAAGGTTGAGCAAAGATGTTAATTGAGAGAACTCTGTAACTCTGTAACTTGAGAAGGTCCGCCTTCTCCCCCCATCCATTTGGTGAATAAAACCACTGAAGACTCTTGAGGAAGGGGGAGTCGCCTGGCAGCTAGCTCTGGAGAGAGTTATGTGTCATGGTGATCTCCCCCCCATTTGGCTAATTCAGTGTAAAATGTCTTCCTTGTCGTCATGTGTGTTTATTTCAGGTTCCAGGGTTATGGAGGTTAAATATTATCTAACAGATAATTGGAGAATGCAGGTATGCAAAGCTGGTAAGAGCAGAAGGCTGAGGCTGGAGCAGAATGGGGCCTGGTTGAGCCACACACATGGACATTACAAATAATCAATTTACTCTCTCTCTCTCTCCCCGGGTGTGTCGTCCTTTAAGGTAATATGGGATAAAATCAAATTACCTAACACCAACCAACCAACAAATCCACCCTATACCCGCAAAACTAACCAGCCCTATACACGTAAAACTAACCTGCTCTATAAACGTAAAAGTAACCAGCCCTATACACGTAAAACTGACCAGCCCTATACACGTAAAACTGACAAGCCCTATACATGTAAAGGAGACATAACATGCTTTTAAGTTATTCCTTTTTACATCTAAATCCTTCAGTTGGGGTCTAAATACAGTAGAACTGCAGTTCTTTGGTCTGATTTCCTCATTATTGTTGCTCTACAGACCCTCATCTACCCCTGTTCTGAGGAGAGTCTTGAGAACGAGCCGTTTTTGGGTACTGTCTCTTTAAACTGGAGGAGGAGCTGTAAACTCTGCCCCCCCTCCATAGTGCAGACCTGTACTCTCCTCCCCCAGTCGGACTTTGTAGTTCTATAGAGAAATCATTATTTAGCATAGCAGATTTAGCATAGCATATTAGCATTTTTAAAACATGTGGGGAGAGTAGTTCATCAAGCTGTTTCATGGCTGCTAACTCTCTCATGCATTTGTCTGTTGTCACTCACACAGACCCGGTGTCGGTACAGTATCTGCTCGGGTGCAAGATCGGCTCGGGGTCCTTCGACTGCCGATGACGTCAAAGTACGGCAAACCGACTCGGACAAAATACACTACACGTCTATACTGTTGGAAAGAATTTAGCACTTTCGTTATTAAAATAACGTTTCTTAAGATGTAAGTTTGTGTTTATAATGGTATTTGTAAAATAAAACACTATATCTTATTCATAATGTTGAACTCCTCTTTGAGCACATCCCTTGAAGAATCATAGGTATTAGAAACACCTGTGAAATTTGCAGGAAAGAAGTGTGTCCCGTTTATTTAAGTATTTTGTGTTTAGAGTTTTTGACATCTTGTCATAGACTGTAGCTGCTAGCCAAAACTCTGGAGTTAAAAGTTTTCTGGCTTTACTATTAGACTCCAAATGTAATCATTTGGCACGTTTGTAATTCATTATTTGCAATAATGTAATCGGCGATATTAGCATTAGCATTCCTATGGGTTTTTCCATGTATATTAGCATTGCGCTAACCACTCGCTGCCAAATTGCAGCCTTTGAGATTAGAAAATCTCCTGGCTTTACTAAAATACCTGTCTGTACTTATTTGATTGATGGTATTTTTACTTTCTATTAGACTCCAAATGTAATTATTTGGCACGTTTCTAATTCATAATTTGTAATAATGTAATCTGCGATATTAGCATTAGCATTCCTATGGGTTTTTCCATGTATATTAGCATTGCGCTAACCACTCGCTGCCAAATTGCAGCCTTTGCCATTAGAAAATCTTCTTTTGTCACATCGCAATTTTATTGCACATGCAGTTAATCGTTCAGCCCTATTATACTTGCAGCTCTATGCTAAAAGTGTATTTTCAAAGAGGTAATGATGGATTTCTTTGTAAAAGTTGTCCATCTTTCCAATAGAAAAAAATTTGCCTGGACCAACGTCACGTGATAACAACGTTACGTGATTACGTAATTCCGTAAGGTTCATGTTCAGCCAATCAACTACTTAGACGTCATCGGCAGTCGACGGACCCGAGCCGATCTTGCACCCGAGCAGATCTTGTACCGACACCGTCACGGCCGACGGAGGGACAAGCGAGCAGGCACACGCGCGCGCACACACACACACACACACACACACACAAGGAATGCTGCTTGCTTATTTCTATAAAAAATGTTTAAAAAAATGATACAGCTCATTAAAACACCATTAAAAGAATATATTTTATTAAGATCTCTATCTATATACATACATATAATTATAAATAATTTTATAAGTAGTCTTATTTTATATTGGGTGTCTTAAAGGCTGAAAATGGATAAAAAGCAGTTACATTTTAATTTAAAGATTTGAGATTCTAGTCAAAAATAAAGAACATTCCTCCAAATGTTCTTTAATGTGATCATTATAATTCTAATGCTTACAACTTTATTTTTATTGTCTGCAATGTTTAGCCTATATCTTTATTAAATGTGTTTAGCTGTAAAGTGGTAATTCTCTCTAATGTGTACAGAGAGGTGGACATCAGTGCTGCAGTGAAATTCCCAAGATCAGTCTGCTTTGCTAACAAATATAGTTAAATCTTACCTGCATTCTAAATAAATACTGTTAGGTTAAAACATCAGTAGGCATTGAGTTATTGATAAAATCCCTAACAGCCAGAATGGAAGAAGAGCATGCTGGGTCATCCTGGATCTGAGCCTGTTACCTACAGGATGCAATAAATGTCTACAAGGCTGAGTTTGGACCATTACATCTAAAAGAAAACATACAATCAGTGATTTTTTTTATTGTTTACATTAATATACAAATTTTTCTAAGTATTAACCTCACAGCAAATAAGTAGAACAATATAATAAACAGGCTTTAGTAGTTAAACAGGCGTTGTGCACACAGGTGCTTTGTGTCTCGGTGCTGGTGGTATCTAGGTCACAGAGTTCCTGTCCTCCTGCCGTCTTCTGTTGTCCTCAGGAAACGGATTGATGTTTCCTGATGATGAGGGAGGGGCAGTATGTGGGCTTCAAACTGGTCCTGGATAACAGTGGGAGACCTCCGTTGTCTGAATACTGAGACCAGAGGGTTGGTGAGATGCAGATCTTCTCTACCTCATCTAGAAACGGAGTTGGTTCAGGGAAAACTTTTCCAAAGACCAGTTCCATGATGTCATCGCCATATTCTGCAATGATAGACAATAACTTTAATGACGTATTTTGTTTACAAGCAGCTTTAGGAAAGTTGTTTCTTTAGCTTTCATGTTTATAGTCAAGTTTGTGTTTGTTCACAAGTTCACTTTGCTGCAGTGACTTCATATTCTTACAAATGTAATAAAATAGTGACACTAAAATTATACAAATGACTCCTTATGAAAGGAAGCTTATTAGAGAGCAGTGCAGACAGACTTACTACATGCTGCAGCTGTTTTTGTAGGCCAGCTGCTGCTGAATTTGGGGAAAGTTATTCTGCACACATCCAGATCAGATGGTCGATTACAGAAAATAATGTAATTCAATAATTTCTAAACAGACTAAACAAGTAAAACATCAAATAAATCACTCTGCTGTCATCAGATGGAGTGATTCAGGGGTGAGGTGTTCTTAATGATGAGGGTGGCTGAGGTGTGTCATCACTCACTTTGGTCTGGTCCAGCTACCATCTCTTTACTGGTGAGCCTCCTTCCTCAGTAGGTGACGTGAAACGCCAACATCTGAACGTTCTGTGTTCCTTAGAGGAGAAGAAAAGTAACATTTGCCAGCTGGCTACATTATTTTTTACAAGCATCTCAAGGACTTGGAGAAGCCGATCTTCACTTACCTAAACATCAGACCAGTTTGTCCCTGCTGAGCTCATCAGGGCGTTAGTCTGACAGCCTGTCAGTGAAACACGGCTCCAGACTTCTGGATGTTGACTCTAAAAAGCAAAGGAGCATTTTTACTTTTGTTTTAATTATTTTACAGCCGATTTTATCAGCTTTCCGACGCTCACGCTCATACAGACGGTGAGCTTTGCTGCGTCTGACTGATGCAGAGTTAGTTTTTATATCTGCAGTGAGACAAAAAAACTAACCTCACTCCACTCAGAGATCGTTCTTTAAAACTCTATTAAATCCACTGTGTTGACGCACTTTAATGACTTTGTCACGCTGCATTTTAGCTGATATGGGACTTTATTTGCTGGATGCTAAGATTACATCACACTCACGTAGAATAACACACAGGCTCTCTGCTGTTACAATCAGTGGGAGGTTATCATCTGGTGTAAAAGAAGGCGTTGATCAGAAATCACGTTTTATTCCACGAAAATCAGCCAAATCCACATTAATCTAGGTGCTAACTTTACTAGCATACTGTGCTAGCGATAGCAAGCCGGATGCTAACGCTTTAGTGCTGCTAATGCCCGTAAATCTAAAGTAAAGTTTGTCGACATTTTAGAGTTATATGAAGCTTACCGCTCTGCTGCTGTGTCCCGGTGCTGCCAAATTCAGATGGAGCCCTCAGTACTTAGCCACTAGCCTGGAGACAGAACGAACGAACCACGCACGCACGCACACACACACACACACACACACACACACACACACACAAACAAACACAAACACACTACTTTTTCTTCTGTGTTTTTTTAGCAGTAGTGTCATCAGCTCCTGGGTTTAAATACTGCCACACCACCCTTCCTTAAAACGAGGAACAGTTTTGAGCTGTGTGTGGCTAAAATAACCAGACATTCTGCATTTTTCCAATAGGACTACAAAAAATCTTAGCGAGAAGAAAAAATGGCAGATTGGCTCTGTGTTTAGCCGAGGGCCATTACCATATTTGGTAGTTATCCTGACGAAATAAATTACTGATGTAATAGATAATGTGAAAAACTGAACGGGTGGACAAATATGCCCAAAACTTAATTATTAAATATCTAAATAGCAACTCCAGTGAATAATATAAGCCTTTTTGCTCACTTAGACACTTAAAATGTGAAACACACTGTGTTAATGGATAAAAAAGTGGGTTTTTCATGTTATGTCTCCTTTAAAACATAATGAAAGTGAACACCCCCCCCCCCCCCCCTTTTCATTTTTTTCTAAGCAGAGTATCCATGAGAAAGGCTCCTGTTTCTGCTCATTACACTGTAAAAATAAAACCTAAGATCCAGTGGACTCTTGAAATCTATTACAGTTCAAAACAACATCCCCCTAACTGTACCAGACCGATTAATTTTACAGATCTGGCATCGAGGGCTTAGGTGTTTGTTGTCACGCAGCAGAAGGAGTTTTACACTGCTCAGAGCCAGAAGGTTTACTTCATGTTAAAGTGTTTCTCTTTTAAGAGACAACAGAGCAATCGGAGTTGGAGAATCCCAGGCTCACATTTACATTTGCACAAAAGAATTAATGCGACACATTTCACACTGGTTAAATTCATTCCTTTGTGAGTGTTTAATAAAATGCAGTGAGGACACTTTTCTCCTTTCAAATTGAAAAAATAAGGTGAGAATAATGTCTCAGGCACATGAATACATTCAGCTTTGGTGCTGACATTTTGTTGTAACGCTGCCTGTTGCCCTTTTTACACACCGTGCTGGCAAATCAGCGTAATATTACAACAAGGGTGTGTCTTATGAACACGCCATGCTGGCATGACGTTGCGTGGAAATTTCTGCATTTGTTCCACCTTGCTCGGTAGTAATATTGCGGTAATTGTCTGTCTTATAATCGGCGATTGTACCTTGGTGCAACAAAGGATGGGGTCATGATCACGTGGAGAGTAACGGGCCATTCCCATCTGTACCGGGTCGGCCCGGGCTGGGTAGCGTAGGTTGTTTACATATCTGGGTGGCCTGGTATTTTTCCGGGCCAACCAAGGCTCATTCTCAGCCCTCTTCTCGAGGGGGTCTGCTTCAGGCCGACCAGGGCCAACACACCCACTGCTGACAGCAAATTCCCACCTTCCATTAGAGCAGGGGTGGGCAATTATTTTTTCCATGGGGCCACATGAGAAATAGAAAATATTGTGGAGGGCCAGGCCAAAAGGCTGAAGTCAATTATGCATAATATTAGTGGTATTTCTTTATAAAAAGCAGTAAATACCATTGTTTTTTCAAGCTGGTAAGAGTAGACTATATGTTATAAATGAGCAAAAAGGAAAAAGTGAGGTTGGCTTACAAAAATTTGATTTATTCAAATTTCCCAAGGCAATGGTAAACAAAGTGCGCATTTGGTTTTTGTTAAACATTTGTGACTTATATTAGTTAACAGTTTTAGTCACATTCACTCCAAAACACATTTTGAGTTTCAAATATTGTTGGAAAGAGGTTCTTAGCGTTCTACAGACACACAGTATTGTCTGTAAAATAAAATCACTGAACTGTGATCTTGAGAAAGAGGTTTAAAAAAAAGTGTCCCAGTTCACTGCTAGTTGCCTACATTTGTGGTCCAAACACCTTATTTTGTGTTTTTAAGCGATTTTTTCTTATTCAATGAGAGAAATCTAGTCTCTGCTGGGCTTTAACGAGTGCATCAGTCAGGTTGAATGTCTGAGGTGGAGATGCGAAGCACAGCTGACAAATGATCATCAGTGAGAGAGGATCTTTACCTGGATTTTGTAAACTTCATCATTGAAAATGTTTGTTCACAAATGTAGGTAGAGCCGAAGAAAACCAACATCTTCTGAGCATGTCTCTTCAGGTTTGGAAAGTGCTCCTCCTTAAGAGAAGAGTAGAAATCCAGCAGAGATCCTGAATCTCTGCTTTCAAGTCCCAAACCCTCTTCAGCACTTTCCCCAGGCTGAGCCATCTGACAGCTGTGTGGAGTCCTCCTAAAGAGCGACAAACTGTCTGTGATCCATTGCCCGCGCCCTGATGAAGTTTATTATTTTAGTAACAACATCAGTAACATGGTTGATTTTTAGCACTGACTTGCAAAACACATGTTGGTGTATAATTCAATGCAAAAAACACCAATTTTTGATCTGCATCGATTTCTGTCACTTTATCTTGCATATGTTTCAAAAGTCCGACATTTTTCCCTGTAAGATTTGGACAACCGTCTGTTGTGACACCTGACTGTCTCTCCCATTTCAATCCCAGAGTGTCCGTGCACGCATTTACCTCTGTAAAAAGATCACTCCCTGTCTTTGTCCCTTTCATCGGCCGCATTGCTGCCCGCTCCTCTGTGAGCTCCGTTATCCCCCGGACAAATACGAGCAGCTGGGCTGTGTCGCGGACATCACAGCTCTCGTCTAATGAGAAAAAGTCAAAACTTGCCACTTCACGTTGCAGCTGAAGCTCCAGGTTCCCCGCAATGTCCTCGATCCTCCTGGTCACGGTTCGCCTGGACAGCGGGATTTGCTCAAATGCGCCTTTTTTTCAGGGCATATTAGTGCGGCAGAGTCCACCATGCACTCTTTGACAAACTCTCCCTCTGAAAACGGCTTGCTGTCTTTAGCTGTTTTGTGGGATATCACAAAGCTGGTCCTGGTTGCTGCATCCCTGGATGTGTGAAGCTTAGTAAAACAGCCTTGCTGCTTTTGCAACTTTGCTAGCAAAGCTTCGGATGTCCGTGCCCTCTCAGCATCAGATGAGTTCTTGTATTTTTCCGAGTGTTTCTTGTCGTAATGCCGACTCAAATTGTAGTCCTTAAACACGGCAATCTCCTCCCCGCAAACCAAACACATGGCTTTACCTCCGAATTCAGTAAAAAAAATACTTAGCAGTCCAATTTTTGTTGAAAATCCTGCATTCGGCATCTTTCTTTTTTTTTTTTTTTTTTTTTGCATGAGCGGACATTTCTCGGGCTACAATCACCCTGTCAACCGCGGGCACTTGTTGCTATACGTATTGCGTCATTGTGCACGTAAAAAACAACTTCAAAATAAAAGCAATGCAGCCTTAGCCCATGCATGAGGTAAAATGAGAAAATACATTTATTTTGTAATTTCCAATTAACCTTACGCGGGCCGGTCAAAGTCAACCAAAGGGCCGTATGTGGCCCGCGGGCCGTAAAATGCCCAGGTCTGCATTAGAGCAAGCCTCTGATTGGTGGGTAGAATCAGCCCACATGGGCTTAAGACAAGGATTTGTGGAATCAACCGGGCCAGGCTGGGGCCGACTGGGGCTACCCGGCCCGGGCCGACCCGGTACAGAAGGGAATGGACCATTACTGCCGAGCCCCGGGCGGCAACTAAAATGAAAGTAAAAACAGGCCTAAGTTTTGTTTTTGTGAACAGAATCAGCTGAGATGATAATCTGGAGCGATGCAGCGCTCCTGGAGCTTCTCTCTGTTAGAGCTGGAGGTCAGATCACCAGTGACTGCATGGACTGTGGGGGACAGACACCTTAAGGAGCGGCTTGTTAAAAAGAACAAAAAAAAAAACTAATGAGTGTGGCTTCGATCGCAATAAAACCCAAGTTATGTCCAAGTTAAGCGGAAGTCTGCAGCAGTGCAGAGACCGCCCCCATACCCCGTTTATGCCTTTTGTAAAAAGGACCCAATTGCACCACATCACCACCACAGCATGACCAATTATAAACAACCTAAAGCTAACCCGTGCATTAGAGGTGAAAGTGTTCCATACTAGATGTGTTTTTATTGTTTTATACATAATGGGGCTTTTTTGTATGTACCAGCATTTATTAGTCACTAGATCGTGTTTGAACAAACCGATTTGAACCCATTTGCCTTTACATCCATGAGTTATGAGCCTTTTTGCCTCCCACACTTGTGCCGTGGATCACCAGGACTAGGGATGTGTATGGCGATACGATAAGTATCACAATACAGGGAAAGGATACAATGTATCACGATATATTGCCATAAATTCAGTCGATATTAGCGATTCTTTAGACTGATTTTTCCATAGGAATATTCGATAAACAGTCCAAACTGATATGTAACATGTTTAACATCAGGTATCTGAACCATAACAGAGGGATTTACATATTAATGGTGGAAACAAACCCCATCGCACACTGCTGCCATTTAGCGGTTGGTGTTTGAATTGCACCAAAAGAAAAGAAAATACATAAATGCATGTAAATTTTTCCAAAAAATTAGATACACGGCTTTTGAATATAGATATATCGCTTGAAAATTTATAATGACATATTGCCATATCGACATTTTCTTACATCCCTAACCAGGACCAAAAAACCTTTTCACAGTCTGAATTTGGAAAGAATCAGGAAGTTAGTTTGCTTGGGTATTGAGACTGTTTCATCTGTTCCTTTGCTCCTTGTTTCCTTATGAAAACTGCTTTTACAAAAAATAAAAAAAATACAATTTGAAATGTAGGATTTCCCATTTCTGTATTATTTTGGATTTTATTGGAGTCTGCGCTCACACAGTCAGCCACTTTCCAGAAGTTCACTGAAGTTTTATTCTATTCCTTTGCCTCCAGGAGATAACCAGGTAAATGTTGAAGAAGTGATGTAACGCTGGGATATTTTCAGTGCACTTTTACAGGAATGTGACGAGGTAAGTTCTCCCCATCAACAAAAATCAACTAATTTCGGAGTCGAGTGTTGGCAACATACACAGGCATGATAAAATAAAAACAAGGTTCCATCTTTGTTTGCTGGAATTTTTGTGTAAAATTAGCATTTAACCACTTTAAATCCTTCCTGCCATGAACACAACACCTGTAGTTGAGGTAGGCTGGAAGAAGGGAGGTTCACTGAGTCACTGGCCTGAGACGCTCCAGCTGAGGGTTTTGGTTATATTGTTTTTATCTCAACAGTCTGAGCCACAGTGCAGAGTCCACCCTCTTCCTCCTGCAGGATCAGCAGCTCTCCCACCATTTGCTGACCCTGGACCATGATGCACTGCTCCACGCCATCCGATATCACCACCTCCACCAGCCCTGGCTCTGTTCCTGCAGGCAGCAAGTCCTCTGCATCTAGGAGCAGGGGAGTGGAGGTCGGTGCAGACAGGTCATCTGAGTGGACCTAGACAACAGTGTGCTGGACGTCGCCTGGAGTCTCTTCTGCTCCTCTGGTTGCTGTTTCAACACTCATGATCTCATCTTCTCCTAGCTCTCTTCTCTGCTCAGCATCTCCTCCTCCC